TTGTGGTGTCATCGATCTTCCAATTCCTGCTTGCGGCACGCCTTTCCGTACTGCGTCGAATCTTTACCGCGGTGGTCACCGGTACAGTGATTATGTTGATTGCGGCCACCGTCTTTCCGGTGGTTTTCGACTCGCTGACCGATGTCCCAGAAGGCACGTCCAATTTTGCCGCACCCCTGGCAGCAGGCGTAACGCTGGCGCTGGTGGCAGGACTGGTGCTGCGTGGCGCGCCTAGACTTCGCTTGTGGTCCCCGGTCATCGGAATCGTTGCGGGCTGCGCAGTGGGCGCCCCCTTCGGGATCTACGACGTTCAACCCATTCTCGACGCTCCCTGGTTCGGTGTGCCCTTCGGCTCGTGGCCCGGGCTGGACATCACACCCGACCATAAGTTCTGGGCCCTCTTGCCCGCCTTCATTATTGTCACGCTGGTAGGAGCCATCGAGACCATCGGCGACGGCGTGGCCATCCAAAGGGTCTCCCAGCGGAGGCGGCGGGCCACGGACTTCCGCGTCGTCCAGGGGGCGCTGAACGCTGACGGTACGGGAAACCTGCTTTCCGGTCTGGCGGGAACCCTTCCCAACACCACGTACTCGACCAGCATTTCTCTGGCCGAAGTTACGGGCATTGGCTCCCGTCGCGTGGGCATTCTCATCGGTGCCTTCATTGCTGCAGTAGCTTTCTTTCCGAAAGTGGCGGCACTGGTGATTGCCATTCCGTCTCCCGTAGCGGCGGCTTACATTACCGTCCTCCTGGGACTGCTATTTGTTCAGGGCATGAAAATAGTTATCCAAGAAGGGGTGGACCACCGTAAAGCTGTGGTGGCGGGAGTGGCTTTCTGGATTGGCACCGGCTTCCAGAACCAGTGGATTTTCGGGGACCTGCTGGGAGAAGGGTTTCTTGCCGTATTGCTGGGTAACGGCATGACTTCTGGCGCCATAGCCGCGGTCGTTATGGTGGCCTTTCTGGAGTTGACCGCCCCCAGGAAGCGGCGTCTCGACATCCACGTTGATGACGAGGCGTTACCAAAGCTAACCCAGTTCCTGGCTCAGTTCGCGGCCAGGGCCGGCTGGAATCAGGACTCCACCGACCGACTGCTGCTGGTAGGAGAAGAAACCCTCCACAGCCTCACATCCGAAGAGACCGACAAAGGCAGCCAATGGAGCCGTCACCTGCGGGTTACCGCCCGACGCTCCGGCAATGGCGCAGAACTGGAGTTTGTATCAGCCTCCGAAGGGGAAAACCTGGAAGACCAGCTGGCCTACTTGCACGAACCGACCGACGTGCCGGACGTCCGGGAAATCTCCTTCCGCCTGCTTCGCCACTACGCCTCGTCGGTTCGCCACCAGAAATACCATGGGGTTGACGTGGTTTCGGTAGAGGTTGCCGGGTCGCGGTAGGCCCGGCAAAGGTCGAAAGAAATATTCAGTCCCCACCCAGTCGGTGCCCGTCCAGGTAGCGGCGGGCTGAGGCCAGCACCAGTTCAGGACTTTCCATGGCAACGAAGTGGGAGCCCTTGGGCAGGGTTTCCATCCTGGCTCCTTTTACCTCGTTGAGGAAATACTTGATCTCGTCGCTGCTCCTGGCGCCCTCGTCCGGGTAGTTGCCGGTGTAGCCCAGCAATAGCAGGTATTCCCCAGAAAGAGCCTTCAGGTAAGGAGTTGGGTCCAGGGAGTGGCGTGCCTCATAGTAAATGGCTTCTACGTCGGTGGGACATTTCAGTTCCGCGCGGCCATCCTCCAGCAGACGGGTGCCCCCGTAAATGTAATCTCTCACTGCGTCGTCGGTCCAGGTGCTGAAGACCCGGCGGTTGCGGTAGGCGTCGTACATTATTTCCCGGGTCTCCCAGATCGCCCGTTTGTTGCGGGTGCGGTTCATCCGTTCTTCCCGCTCCTCCGGGTTGTAGACCTCCAGGGCCGGGCCTACCCGTGTATCCACCAGCACCGCCGGCCCCATGGTTCCCGGGGCCTTGGAGTTAGCTATCATTAGGGTCATGCCGCCGGCGGAGTGCCCGATGCCGAAGGGCGGTTGCGGCGGGTCCAGGGCTTGTACCAGCACGACCACGTCCTCGGCCATATTGTCAAAAGAGTAGCCGCCCGGCTTGTCGCTGTCCCCATGACCCCGCAAGTCCAGGGAAAAAACGTAATAGTCGCTGGCCAAGTCTTCGGCCAGAGGACGCCACACCATGGCGCAAAGGCCTATTCCGTGGGTCATTATCAACAGGGGATTATCCGGGTTGCCCCAGGTCAGGCCATGCAGGGTTATCCCGTTGGCCTCCACATACTTGCTGGTTGGTTCCAAGCTTTCCTCCAGTGAGTTGGGTGGTCCATTCATCCAGGAGCTACGACTGTATTACGTAAGCAATCTGCGACGCCGGAATGTCTTGGCCATCGGCGTGAGTTAAAGCAGATTCCATCTGGGCTGCTCGTCGGCAGCCTCCTTAAGATAATCCACGAGCCAGTCCTTGACCTCCGGGGCCAGGTAAAAGGTAGGTCGAATCAATTCACTCTCGTCCGCAACCAACCCCTCGTCCACCGCCAGTTGAGCTTCCCTGGTGCCCGGCATGATGCTCACTCCCACCCGGAGATTGGCCATTGAAGGCTTGATTCTCCGCAGGAAGTCCAGCTTCTCGTTAACCGTCTCGCGAGTTTCATCAGGTTCTCCGAACCGTTGAGCTATGGTGTAGTTCAGGCCGCCCTCTTCACAGGTGCGGCAGGTCGCCAGCATGGGCTCCATACGTTCCTCTAATGACGTGCCATCGTGGCTGTCTCCCCGCATATTGCCTATCATTACCAGCTTGCAGCCGGCCTGTTTCATCAGCCCGACCAACTCTGCATCGCAACTGTAGGGAGCCATTCCGGTGGTCCAGTGCACACCAACGTCGGCGGCAATTAGGGCCCGGCAGAGTTCCTTGGCATGGGCCAGGGGAACATTGAAGCCATTGTCTATGAAGTGAACTTTTCGCAGCCGGAAACGCTCCTCCATGTCCTGTACTTCCTTAACCACCTTGTCAATGGGCCGGATAACCCGCCACGCGCTGCGCTCCGCCGGTTCCGACCCTGGCGACGTGGGATAGTTGAAGTCACCCAGCTTGGTTACGATGCCCACTCCGAACCCCGCCAGCCGGTACTTTTCCATGTCCAGTTCGTCAAAGCGGGGTGGCTTGGAAAAGTCCGACCTGCACGCATTCCATTGAATTGAATACCATGTCGTGCGGTAACCAGTCCTGGCAGGTCCAGGTTAAGAGGGTCGCCGTATTCGATGCGCCCGGCCAACTCAGCAAAGGTCTCTCCCGCATCACCGGCCAGACCCAGGTCCGGCTCCAGGTAAGCAAAGCACTCTTCGGGCAGCAGGCTGAACGCGGGCCCGCCGCAGACGATTGGGGCCGTAGAAGACTCCCTTATCTTGCCAATGACATCTTTGGTAATAGGCAGAGCCCATTGAGGGTCCATGTAACTGTGATTGCTTAGATTTCGGAGGGACAGTCCCACCAGGTCCGGCTGAAACTCGTGGACCGCCTCTTCCACCTCGGCAAGGTAGTCCTCGGAAAACATCAAGTCCAGCACCTTCAATTGGTGTCTGTCCGGTCCAGATGCCCCGCTACGTAGGCCATTCCAATCGGCAGGGGCTGCGCATTCATACGGCTCACCAGTCGGTTATGCCGGTTCGTCGCAATCAACAATATTCGCACTTGGAAACCTCCTTGCCTGGCTGGCTCCAGCCCCAATATACGTTATCCATAGCGTTAGGGCAATTGGGCCGCCCCAGCCGCGCCGCACCTGCCTTTGTAATTGAAGGTGAACACATTTTAGGTAGAGGTAAAACCAAATTGACACGCTGTTGGCCGTATGCTACGTTTGGCCCGTTCAAGATAACTGCCTTGAACCTCACAACTACAGTTTCACCCGTCATTGGAAACCCGATTTCCACTGGAGTACACATCAATGCGAAGTATAGATATTCACGCCCACCTGACGCCCCAGTGCTTCTGGCGAGCAACGGAGAACGGCGGCAACTGGCATAGCCTCCGCAGGGAACAGGACGCCCGGGGTCGGGAGATAGCCGTCATTGGTGACCGCCGCGGTGGGTTGCCCCCTATGGCCCGCTGGACGCCTGAAGAACGGATGACCGACATGGACTCTCTGGGCGTGGACATGCACGTCCTCTCTCCTTTTTCAGGATTCTATAACTATGGCCTCGACACCGATATTGCCGTAGCCACCTCCCGGGATTCCAACAATGAAATCGCCGAGATGGTCAAGGCCTGGCCCGACCGGTTCGCCGGTCTCGGAACCCTGCCCATGCAGGACGTAAGCGCCGCCATCGCCGAGCTGGAACGCATCATGACCACCATGAGCTTCAAAGGGGCCATGATCGACGATAAGGTCAACGGCAAGCTGCTGGATGAACCCGAATTCCTTCCTTTCTGGAAGGCCGCCGAACAAATGGGAGCCTTGATCCTTTTCCATCAGGGCGACGGCACCCTCGTCGACTTCCGGACCGATCGCTTCCACCTGCCCAACTCCATCGGCAACCTGGCTGACCGGACCGTCACATTCTGCTCCCTTGTCCTTGGCGGCGTGATGGACGCCTGCCCCGACTTGAAGATTTGCCTGTCCCACGGTGGCGGCTATACCTGTTACAACATAGGCCGGGTGGACCGGGGCTGGCGCGGACTGCCCGAAACGCCCACCAAGCCGACTTTGCCCCCCAGCGAATATCTCAACCGCTTCTACTATGACTGCATCGTCTACACAGAGGAGGCCTTGCGCTTCCTGATAGACAGCGTAGGCGTGGATCGGGTCCTGTTTGGTACCGACTGGCCCTATGACATGGTGTTCGACTGGCCCGTGTCCTGGATTCTAAGCCTGGACAGCATTACTCAAGAGGAAAAGGAACTGATCCTCTGGAAGAACATTGAAAAACTCCTGAACTTATAACGAAGCAAGTCTCGACCACTTCGTTGACTTGTTTACTACCCACCACCAGTTGGAGGTAACCGGATGCGCAGCATAGACATCCACGCCCACACCTTTACATCTACAATGTTGAAAACTCTGGACGCCGGCCAGGAATGGTACGGCATGAGATACGCGGACGAATCCAAGGGATCCGTGTACGTCAGGGAAGGAAAAATTGTAGGCATCAACCGCAAGTGCACTTTCACCCCCGAAGAGCGGGTAGCCGATATGGACCAGATTGGCACCGAGGTCCAGGTCGTTTCTCTCCATACTCCCGTCTTCGGCTACCACCTGGACGCCTCCGCCGGCCTGGCCCAGGCTCAGGAGGTCAACAATGACATATCCGCGTTCGCCAAGGAAGCGCCCTCCAGGTTCGCCGGCATGTCCACCCTGCCAATGCAGGACGTAAACGCCGCCATCGCCGAACTGGACCGGGCCGTCAACACTCTCGGCCTCAAGGGTGCCGAACTGGACACGGTGGTCAATGGCAAGACTTGGGATGAGCCGGAGTTTCTGCCCTTCTTTAAGGCCGCCGAGTCCATGGGAGCTACCCTCTTTTTCCACCCCCAGCCCCAGCACAACCTTATGCTGGAACGCACCAGCAAGTACGCGCTGAGCAACTCCGTGGGCGTGCCCGTCGAGGACACCCTGTTGGTCGCCGCCCTTATCTTTGGCGGCGTTATGGAAAATTGCCCGGACCTCAAAGTCTGTGTGGCCCACGGTGGCGGCCCCGCCTGCTTCGGTATGGGCCGGCTGGACCGGGGCTGGCAGGTGCGTTCCGAGGCGCGGGTCAATATCACTCGCCCTCCCAGCTACTACAAGAGTCGCCTCTACTACGATATCGTCGTCATGAGCGAGCGGTCGTTGCGGTTCCTTATCGATTCGGTGTGGAATTGAGCGGGTGGTGCTGGGCAGCGACTATCCCTTCGTGCCATGGGATCCCTCGCCCACCGGCTGGCTCCAAAGCCTGGAAAGCCTGACCCAGGAAGAGAAGGACCAAATTGCCTGGAAGAACCTGGAGAAATTGCTGGGGATTGAGACAACCGGAGCGTAGGGATAGTCTTACACAAAGATTAGCCATTTTGGGAGCGTAGAGCAGGTTATGAAGAACCTCTGGTCGGATAGTGAAGCCCAGTCCCTGGATGAACTGGACAAGCTCGTATACATGAGCCGCCTGATCGGCGCAGACCCTTCCCTGGTGGTATGGGGCGGCGGCAATACCTCAATCAAGGTCACCGAGAAAGATTTCCTGGGCCGCGACGTTGAGGTAATGCGCATCAAGGGTTCCGGCTCTGACCTGAAGTCCATGGAACGCTGGCAGTTCCCTCGCCTCGAACTGGAAAAGGTGCTGCCCGTCTTCGAGCGGGAACAGATGTCAGACGAAGGTATGGTGGAGTACCTGGACCGCTGCGTCCTGGACCCTAATTCCCCTCGTCCCTCCATCGAGACCCTGCTTCACGCCTTCCTGCCCTTTCACAGCGTCGCCCACTCTCACGCCGATGCCGTAGTGGGACTGACCAACAATAAGGACGCCGACGACATCCTGAAGAGGGTATATGGCGATAATATCGGCATCGTCGAATACCTCCGGCCTGGATTTCAACTATCGAGGCTGGTTGGCCTGGCGGTAAAAGAGGCGCCTCGCTTGGACGGTGTAGTGCTCCTGAATCACGGCCTTTTTACTTGGGGAAACGACGCAAAGGAAGCCTACGACCGGCACATTGACCTGGTTACCAAGGCTGAGGAATTTGCCGCGTCCGGTGATGGCAAGCTCTCCGGTGGCCGGCAGCGCAATCCCCTGGCACCGGACCGGCGCAGGGAAATCGCGGCCGCCGTTGCTCCTACTCTTCGGGGACTGGTCAGCCAGCAGCGCCGTTCGGTCCTGCGCTACGACGACGCCGAGGACGTGTTGGAATTCATCGGCTCTGAAGAGGGCCAGCGACTCAGTGCCATTGGTCCAGCCACGCCCGACCACCTGATTCACACCAAGCGAAGGCCACTGTGGCTGGAAGTTTCCGACCCCGAAAATGTTGATGCGGTGAAGGAAGCGATGCGCCAGGGCATGACCGGCTATGCCGAGGAATACGCCGCCTGGTACCAGCAGCACACCACCGGCGACGACTCCATGCTGGACCCGTATCCCCGCGTAATACTGTTGCCCGGCGTGGGTATGTGGACGACGGGCCGGGACTCCCGTGCCTCCCTGATAACCGACGACATTTACCACCACACGATCAACGTACTCCGCACCGCCCAGTCGGTCAGCGATTACACTTCCCTGACTCCCAAAGACGCCTATGACGCGGAGTACTGGCCGCTGGAGCTATACAAGCTAACATTGGCGCCGCCGGAGAAAGAGTTGGCCCGTCAGGTTGCGCTGGTAACCGGAGCGGCCAGCGGCATCGGCAAGGTTATCGCCGAGAGACTCGCGTCGGAAGGTGCTCACATCATTGTCACCGACCTTGATGCGGAGGGAGCCCAGGACGTGGCCGCCGGCATCAACCGTTCCAACGGAGCAGAGCGGGCCGCCGCCTTCCCCATGAATGTCGCCGACCCTGCTCAGGTCTCCGAGGTCTTCCGGTACCTGCGCCGCACCTACGGCGGGTTGGATATCCTGGTATCCAACGCCGGCATTGCGCCCGTGGGGGCCATAGACGAATTGTCCCTGGCCGACTGGCAGCGCTCCCTGGACATCAATACCACCGGCCATTTCCTGGTGTCCGCTGAAGCCGTCAGACTGATGAAGGAGCAGGGCATTGGCGGGAGCCTGGTATTTATCGGCACTAAGAATGTTCCGGCCCCCGGCGCGGAATTCGGCGCCTACAGCGTAGCCAAGGCAGCCGAGGTACAACTGGCCCGAGTTTTGGCTTTGGAAACCGGCCAGTACGGCATTCGTGTCAATGTGGTCAATCCCGATGCCATATTCCAGGGTTCCCAACTCTGGTCTCAAGAGTTGCGGGAGGAACGGGCCTCCGCCCATGGCGTTACCGTGGAAGGACTGGAGGACTTCTACCGGCAGCGCAATCTGTTGAAAGTTCGAGTCCTTGCCGAAGACGTTGCGGAAACTGTGCTTTTCCTGGCCTCCAGTCGTTCCGCCAAGACTACCGGCGCAATGATCCCAGTGGACGGCGGCGTACGGGAGGCATTCCCCAGGTAGACAATCCTTCTCTAGACACAGAGGCAACCCTTGTAGTTGCCTTGCCACCGATAAGCAAAACAACTCATGAAAAAAGGCGCCCCTTTAGGGCGCCCTTTCATTTTCCCAGCGTCATATGACCTTACCGCTTGACGTACTTGTCCACGCTCATTGCCCCGGTCAACGCCAGGTAAACATTGTCCTGGCTGTCCACCCATAGCCCATGGGCTGAGCGGGAATCCCAACGAGCTAAGGTCCGGCCTTCCTTATCCCGTACGCTGATTCCGGGAGTGGAACCCTCCAGCGAAGACTCTGCAATGTAGAAATCTCCGTTGCTGGACTGGGAGATGTCGTTGGGACGGGTCATGTCGGTCCACATATTGAGGAACTCGCCTTCGGCGGTGAACACCTGGACCCGGCTGTTCTCCCGGTCGCAAACGTAAATCAACCCTTCCTCGTCAATCAGCAGGCTGTGGGGCAAGTGAAACTCCCCGGGGCCACCCTTGCCCGGTACGCCCCAGGAGGCAATCAACCGGCCGTCGCCGCTGAATCGGTGGACCCGGCTGTTCCGGTAGCCGTCGGAAACGTACAGGTCGCCCGAAGGCGAGGGGTACATCTCGGAAGGGAAATTAAAGGGCCCCGCCGCTCGCGGCACCAGCGCGCCGGCCTCTTCGCACCCGGTGTCGGAATGCACACCCCGATCGCCGATTACCATGAGGGGTTTGCCATCCAGCGTGTACTTGAGGCAGACCGAGTCCTCCCGGTCGGTGAGGTAGATCACGTCGTCAACGATGCAGAACCCGTGTGGCAGATTGAAAGCGCCGATTCCCCACGAATCAACGTAGTTTCCCTCGCTGTCGAACACCACTACAGGCGGGTCCTTTCGTTGGTAAACGTAAACCCGGTCCTGGGAATCGCTGGCCACCGAGCTCACCACGCCGAAGGTCCAACCCTCGGGCAGCTGGGCCCAGTCTTGGACCAATTCGTAATTATCCTTGTCGGTGTTGACCAGAGTCATTTCTCCTGACCTCCCGATTAATTTAATGTATGCGGGGCCCGAGGGCGAGAAGGGGCGACACCCCGATCTGCCCCTCCATTGACACGTTCAGTTTTCCGCGAATTACTGGCTCTTCCGCACCACTTGTCCACACTGTGATTTGTGGTCAGGCCCAGGTAGATGTCACCCTTGGAGTCCACCCACATGCCGTGAGCATGGCGGATTTCCCAGCGGGTGATCAGGGTGCCGTCCGCCTCCCAGATACTGACGTGGGGCGGGCCATCGTCCACTTCCTGCTCCACGATGTAGAAGATACCGTCGATGTCCCGGGAAATATCATCCGGGCCGCCCATACCGCTGGTCCACTGGGTGATGTACTCGCCGTCCGGAGTGAAAATCTGTACTCGCCGGTTGGCCCGGTCACAGACATACACCTTGCCATCCGGGTCCACCAGGCAGCTATGAGGCAGATGGAAGTGGCCTGGCTCGGTCTTGCCCGGCTGCCCCCATGAGCCAATCAACTCGCCGTCTTTCGTGTAGCGGTGAACACGGGCATTTCGGTAGCCGTCGGAAATATAAATGTCTCCCGAAGGGCTGGGCACCATTTCGGTGGGATAGTTGAAGGGGCCTGCAGCACGGGGCACAAAGTCGCCCGGCCGTTCGCAGCCGGTGTCAGAATGAACGCCCCGCTCACCAATGACCTGAAGGGGCTTGCCATCCAGGGTGAACTTGACCGCCACCTGGTCGGAGCGGTCTGTTATGTAAACAATGTCGTCAACAATGGTAATGCCGTGGGGGTCGGCTATCGCCCCGATTCCCCAGCAGCTAAGATAGTTACCCTCCGAATCGAATACCATAACCGGCGGGTCCTGCCGTTGAAAAACATAAACCCGGTCCTGGGAATCAGTGGCCACCGCGCTGACGATGCCCAGGGATTCACCCTCCGGCAACTTGGGCCAGTCCTGGATCAATTCATAGGTGTATTTTCCGGTGCCGGCAGTAGTCATGCTGTCGCTACCCCCTCATACAATTCTTGCCATATTTCAATCTGCGACTTCCAGCGGAAGTGTAATGGCGACCCTAATCTAGTGTCAAACCAACCGCAGGCACGCCGGACTTTCCGAATGTGGCTGGTTCAATAAGTGGCAACCACCAGGACTGCCCTCGCCAAAGGTCCAGGACTGTTTACTGCCCGAAGAATCCCGACTGTATGTTCTCCCGAATCAGACCGGCAACCAGCTCCGGCCTCTGTACTGGCACGTCGTGGATGCTGTCTTCCAGCCACACTACGTTTACCTTCGGCAGCAGATTTTCTGCAGCAGCCACCGACTCCTGGCGGCGAAAGGTGCGTTCAGCCACTGAATCATCGTTGGCCATGCGCGCCGGCAGCATCAGCACCGGGCACGGTACCTGCGGGTACAACTGCGACGGGTGGTGCTCCCACAGCGCGTCAATAATCCGCAGATGGTTCTCCCTGCTGAGGCGAGTCCTAACGGTACGGTCCTCCATGACTTCGAAACAGCTCATAATTACTTGGTCGAATTCGGGCGGCAACGGAAATGGCCTGACCCGGTTGCTAAACCTTTCCTTCAACGCCAGCAGCGTCATTCCCGAAAAGACAGGTGGCGCCATGTCCTCCCTGGCCTTTTCCAATGTCATCCCGGGTCGGGCTGAGGGCTCAATCATCCCGCCGTCCACAAAACAAATACCGCTGGCAACATCCGGATGGGCCACAGCAAACTCCAGGGCAACGTCTGCCCCCCAGGAGTGCCCCACTATAACCGGACGCTCTAGATTTCGAGCATTGATAACCCCCAACAGGTCGCGTCCCACGGTGGCAAAGTCATAGCCCGACTCTGGCTTGTCAGTCAGCCCATGTCCCCGCTGGTCCACCGCGATGACGGCAAAGTCTTCAGCGAGTTGCGGCGCCACCAGGTCCCAAATGTGGCAGGATGAAGCCAGTCCATGCAGCAAGACAACTGGCCGCCCGGAACCGCCCCAGTCCCGGTAGTGGAGGTTTATACCGTTGGAAGAAAAATAGCCGTCCATAGCTGCCTGTACCATCCTGCCTCCTGCACGTTCTCCGCTAAAAAGAACTTGAGAATCATCTCCAAATTTGGACAATGGGATGTTACCCCCGCGATATTGGAATGACAACCGCCGCCAGCCGACCCCGGTTACCCCCAGCCGCCACGGCATTCAAAAGGCGCCTGCCCTGCGTCGGTAGCGTTTCAATTTAGGTGGTGTTGCCATAGAACCTGGGCAGACAAACAGGTCTGCCCCTACGAAATCCCGAACCCGCCCACCTGACCTGGAACGCTACTCCCAGCGCCGGTTACCATTCCGGTGGACACGGCTGCCACCCTATACTAGGATTAGGAACCAGAAAGCCCCTCGACACCTGACCCAGGAGATGTAGCATGGCGGCAAGTGAACAGCCCACACCAGTCGAGCGGACAGACGGCTTCGTTAAGATAGGCGTGAGAGAAGTTAGAACCATACCTTTGCCGGACGGTGACACCGGAGAAGGACTGGCCCTGCATACCGACCGAGGCGAAATCCCCGCAGTCCTGCACCGGGCCCCTGACTCGACGAAGGGCGTCATCTGGGTCTGCGGCGCAAGAGGTGGATTTGGCGGCCCGGGCCCGGGCCTGTACGACCAACTGGCCCAGAAGTTAACCGCGCAGGGCATTTCCTCGCTCAGAATGGACTACCGCATGCCCAATCTTCTTCCCGAATGCGCCATGGATCTCATGGCCGGCGTCACCTACCTCGAAGACACCGGACATGGCCCTGTAATCATAGTAGGGCACTCCTTCGGGGGAGCGGTAGTAATCGCGGCAGGAGCAGTGACCAGGCATGTCGCCGGAGTCGTTTCCCTGTCACCTCAGACCTACGGCGCCAACATGGCCCGTCTGATATCTCCACGGCCGCTGCTGATTGTCCATGGCAAGGCTGACACCCGCTTGCCCTACTCATGCGGCCAGCAGATTTACGACTGGGCCGACGAACCCAAGCAGCTTGTCCTGTACGAAGGCGCCGAGCACCGCCTGGAAGAGTGCCGGGACGAGTTAGGCGCTCTGCTTACCCAGTGGATACCGGCGGTTCTTGATGGAGAGCCGCCCACCCTGTAATCAAGAGTCCAAACATCCACCGCATCTCCTGGTGGACTGCACCAGACCTGCACGTCCAGGGCCCGCCGAAGGCCGCCATAGTTAAGTTAATCGAGCTTCGCGTAATTTACGCTTCAAAAGTACGGGAGAACAGAATTGACTGACCTGAAAGACCGCATAGGCTACGACGCCGGCACTACCCGCCTGGAAGACGCCATTGCCACGGCCACTGAGCACGGGTTCCATTACCTGGACTTCAATGCCGACCAGGGCCCCAATCGCCTGACCGACTGGGACGATATACGGGTAGCTGCGGTAATCCGAGCCGCGAGGGAAAGCGCGATCACCCTAACTCTCCATACCGCATCGTCCATCAACATAGCCGAGTTTTCTCCCTACGTCGATGAGGCCGTGGACCGGTATCTGGAGGGCAACATTGACCTGGCCAGGCAGCTGGGGTGTCACGGCGTGGTAACTCATGGCGGTTACCACTTCAGCAGTTCACTGGACTACCGGATGCAGTCATCCCTGGAACGGTTGAAACGCGCCACTGAGTATGCCGAGTCCGCTGGCGTCAACTTGCTCCTGGAGAACCTGAACTTCGAGCCTGACGACGCGGAAATCCACTACCTTGCCCACACAGTCGAGGAATGCCGCTTCTATTTCAATGCTATTTCCTCGGAACGGTTTGGCTGGGCCTTCACCGTCAACCACGCCCATCTGGTACCGGAGGATGTTGAAGGCTTCCTGGACGCGTTTGGCATTGACCGCATCGGCGAGGTGCGCCTTGCGGACAACACTGGTGAGAAAGAAGTTCACCTCAATCCCGGAGAGGGCAACATCGATTTTCCTGCTGCTTTTGGCCGACTGGAATCCTCAGGCTACACGGGCTTCTACTCCATGGCCTTCGGCAGCCTCGAAGACAAGCTGGCAGCCCGGGAATACTTCGCCGGGTGCATTGGCGGGTAAGCTGGGCTATCCAGTTACAGCCATTACCTCTCGCTCCAGTCCCGGACGTATTGCCGTTGCCATTCCGTCTCCGGCGAACGCGTCCAGACTGACTTGGGGCAGTTCTTCCACATATCACCCAGGCGTCCTAAAGCGGAAGTGCCAGGATTACCATGGCGGGACAGCCAGCAGCCGACTATGGTTCCGGTACGGCCGACGCCACCCCAGCAATGCACATAGACCGGCTGGCCGTTGGCCATACAATTGTCGATTGTGTCAAGAATGGAAGCGGTCAATTCAGGTGAATCTGGGGTATGCAAATCTCTGATGGGAAAGCGGTGGTGGATCTGCGTTTCCGAGTCCAGCCACTGGGAATAGGGGTGCAGCTCCCCGTCTTCGGTCAGGTCAATAAAGCCCACGATTCCTGCTTCAGTCAACGCCGCCAGCTTCGGAATGGATGACTCGTCGTCCAGGTTTCGTGGGTACTCTCCCGCCAGCAGTTGCCCCGGAACCACCCAGTAGCAGTTTGTTATCGGCTGATTCAATCTATCTCCCTTTATTCCCCGGTCAGGTCAACTGGCACTATATAGACCCCCTTGGCCCGGGGCAAAAGCGAACTCTCGTAATTGTAGTGTGTCTCTACCAGCATCCGGTACCCGGTATCCGACAACTTCTGCCAGCCAAAGGGCACGGGATTCCAGCCCACCATCTGCAGCAACCGCTCGGACTTCTCGATCTTGGTATCCAGTCCGGCCTCTCGCATTCGCAGGATGTTGGCCGTCATGGCGAAGTCGTCCGCCACCTCCTTGCCAGTCATAAACAGATAAAGGGCGGTAGGGTCATTTTCCAGGCGGCCCAGAGGCATCCAGCTAAGCGTATGGTCCCAGGAGACAATTCTAGCGAAATTCTCCGGGCGGTTCTGGAATTCCTTGTCTGATACATCCACCACCCATATTCCGCCGCCTTCGTCGGTGAAGCCATACAGAGTGTTGTACAGGAAGTTCCCGTCCTCGCTCATGCGGGCCGACGCTCCGTAGAGACCCGCCTCTGGAGCCTTGGGAAAGGCTTCAATCGGGTAATGAATCTTCAGGTAGTTATCGGGGTCATCCAGGTTAACCGCATACACCGCCTGCCAGCGGGGGTCAGCGGGTTGTTCCCCCTCGGCAGGAGTCCATCCCTCGGTACTGAACAGCCAGGTGCGGTCATCGAAGGGCAGGGGCAAGGCCATCAGCATAATTCCGGGCGCGGTATAAAGCTCGGTGGCTTCTCCCCCGCCGTCCACTTCCAGGATCTTGTAGCGTTGCTTCTTGTCCGGCTCAAGGGAGCGCCGCACCGTCAAATAGTACCGGCCGCTATCGTCACCTTCCGCCGCGTAGCGCCTGATTCCGCCTGCGGTGTCGCATTCCCCCAGCCAGGGTACTTCCTCAGCCCTGAAGAGGTCGCCGATCCAGTCACTCTCGAAGCCAAAGTACTGAACCCCCTCTCCGGTTCCGCTCCATAGCAGCGCCTGTGCCCTCTGGCCAAAGTCGGCGTCGTTATCCAAATCACGGGTTGCGTGTTCCCGCGAAAACCTGAACCCTGCCGAATCCAGCAACCCCCGATAGTCGGTGGCATTGAGGCTCTCGCGATAAACGTCACATTGCTTCTTTGCCAGGGGCGCAGGATGATAACGCTGGTCGTCAAATGGCAGCGACAGAATCTCCAGTTCATAGTCCCTCGCCAGCCTGGATGAACCGCCGCTGAAGGCTCGGGCGTTCAGGTGCAGGTGTGTGGGCGAGGCAACCCGTTCGTCATTGCTCTGCCACTCCGAAGGCAGCTCAGAGGGTATTACCAGCAATGTCCCATCCGGGAAGACCTCGGCAACAATTCCCGAAGAATACCTGCGCCTTTGGTACTCGAAATCCACGTTGGCAAACAGGTCGCCTGCGTTGCCCTCTTCCAGCCTCAATTGGAGTTCGTCGGGCACTGGCACCCCCAACTCCATCAACCGGTAGACCTTGTGAACCGGGTGCTCTCCCACCAGTTCCGACTCAAGGGCCAAAAGGTCCAGGTAGGAGTCAATAACTCCATCGAAAAGCCTTACCTTTATCCGCCCGTCTCTCTCTACAATCTGCTCGGGCGTTCCGTTAACATCTGTCAGTTCCCCTTCGGCATTGGTGGCAAAGAAATGAGGCTTGACCAGGTCGCCCAAGGGCTTGCTGGTGTCATAGCCAGGTCTGCGGACCGTCGGATCTAAGGGCAGGTTGTTTACTTGTTCCTGCACTTCACCCTCCATGGTTCGAACCGGGGCAGGTTCAGCAGGTATTGTCGTTTCCGGTGGAACCGTGTCGACCGGAGTCGTGCTGGCTGGAACGGTGTTGGCCGGAGTCGTGCTAGTTAGTGCGGCATTGCTCCCAGTCCTTAATTCCCCAGTAGCCAACGCGGGACTCTCGGCAGGCGCCTCTATAACCGGCGCTTCCTGGACCACCGGTGCTTCGGCGGGCAAGGGGGTAGAGTCAGTCCGGCACCCAACCAGCAAGACGGTCGCAATCAAGGTAGTCGCCATCAGCCATCGAAAGGCACAGCCACTAAACCAAGTCATGGTCAGCTACCCGCGGCAAAGGACTTCAAGGCAGCATAAATCAGGTCATTGATAGGTGTCGCCACCCCCGCTCGCTGGCCTGCCCGCACTACCGCCCCGTTCAGCGCCTCCAGTTCCAGGGGTCTACCAGACATGATGTCTGCGTGCATAGAGGCATGCATATCTTCCAGGTCACCCTCAATGTAAGCCACCGTGTTTTCAACTATATTGGGGTCCAGGTTTATCCCGCTGGCCCGGGCAACTCCTTCAATCTCCCTCATACAGGCAACTATTACCCTTCGCCATTCCTGGCGCGGCATGATCCGTGCCATGGTCTCGCGAGAAAGCGATGTAACCCCTGCCATGGTCGCGATGAACAGGAACTTGGTCCACAAGGTCTGTTGAATGTCCGGCCTGAACTGGGCGATGATTCCCGCTTCGGTCAAGGCCTGCAATATGGCCCCGCCTCGTTCGGTGTTGCTGCCATCCGCCTCGCCGAAGGCAATTCGAACCACGCTACCGCTCTGCTTAAGCAACCCGGGCCCCAGTCTCGCCGCCTCAATGTAGGCCGCCCCGGGCAGCACCTTGTCCTCACCCAATACCTCCGCAGCCGCCTGGTAGCTATCTACTCCGTTCTGTAGGCAGAGCACCGTCGTATCCGTCCCTACCATGGGCAGCATTGCCGGTATTGCCACATTGTTCTGGTAGGTCTTGACCGTCAGCAAGGCCAGATCCACCGGTCCCACCTCCGACGGGTCAGCGGTGGCGGCCAGGTTATCGCCGCATGGAATCGTCAAGAGCTTAGAGTCGGTCTGTATTCGGAGGCCCTGGTCTCGGATTGCCTGCAGGTGTTCCCCTCGGGCAATCAAGGTAACCTGGTTGCCGGAACGGGCCAGCATACCTCCAAAATATCCGCCAATGCTGCCTGCTCCCATTACCGCGACACGCATCTTTGCTGCTCCCCTTGCTTAACTCCAGGCCACTCTGTTCACTGCACGATAAACCCATTCAAGAAGTCTGACAACCGCAAGCGGGAGAAGAACTTTCTTCCTTCTTGACCGGCTACACTTATCCCTGTTGCTTGACGCGGCATTGTTTTCTACTTATGCTGGGATTGCCCTGCAGAAAGGCTCTTGATGGGCACAACACAAGTACTCAGGTACGCTGGCGGCCTTCCCGCCCACTTGGAAAAGGAGCACCGGATGACCCAGCAGAATCAAGCAGCACCGCCGATTACTCCTCCGGTTCCCCAGCCGGAATCAGACTATTACTGGGAGAAATGCAAGGAGCACGAGTTGTGGCTCCGCCACTGTGTTGATTGCGACAATACCTATTTCTACCCCAGGGATATCTGTCCGGCCTGCTTTTCCCGAAACACCGACTGGGTTCAGAGCAGCGGCAGGGGTACGCTCCATACATTTTGCATCGTGCATCGCGCTCCGACGCCAGCCTTTCGGGACATGGTTCCGTACATCCCGGCTATAATAGAACTCGAAGGTGGCGCACGCATCATCAGTCATGTAGTCGACATTGAGCCCGACCCTGAGGTCGTCAAGTGCGGGATGGCAGTGCAGGTGGTCTTTGACGATTTGACCGACACTATAACCCTACCCAAGTTCCGGCCCGCCGACTAAGCGCACGCCTGTGAATCTGAGTGGCAAAGTCGCCATAGTAACCGGAGGCAGCAGGGGCATCGGCCGGGCCGTTAGTCACGGTTTGGCTGAGGCTGGTGCCAAAGTTGTGGTGGCATCTCGAAGCGAAGAGGAAGTGCCGCCAGGGTCAGAGTTTGAACGTTACGCTACTGGTAACATTAATGCCACAGCCGAATCCGTTCGGCGGGCCGGCGGCAATGCCATTGCGGTTCCCTGCGACGTCACCAAAGGCGCCGACATACAACACCTGATTGAAGCCACCCTCTCCCGCTATGGCAGGATTGACATCCTCTTTTCCAACGCAGGAATTGATTGCGAGTCCCCAGTGGTTGATTTGGACCCCGACCTGTTCGACCGCTGCCTGGCGGTAAACGTCAGGGCGCCCGTGCTGCTTTGCAAATACGCTCTCCCCTCCATGCTGGAACGAGGGTCCGGTTCCATAATCGGCGTAACATCCGGCTCCGCCCGCGGCTACCGAGAAGGTCGTGTGGGCTACTCCTTGAGCAAGGCGGCCCTGGAACGAATGCTCCTCAGCCTTGCCGAGGAGGTTCGCGACCGCAACATAGCCGTCAATGCGTTCAGCCCGGGCCGCGTGGATACCTGGATGAACCGCCGCGGCGACTGGCCCGGCACCGCTCACATTCCCATGGTCCAGCCCGACGAGGTCATCCCCGCAGCGGTGTGGCTGGCCAGCCAATCAGCGGAGACGTTCACGGGCCAGGTCGTGGAGAGAGCCGACTTCGGCGTTACCTGGGGAGCTACCGGAAGCTAAGGATAGCCTAGGCTTGTCCCCCACTCTAACCAACAATTCATCATGAATAATTCCATATTGTCCCGGTAAACTTTAACGCATCAGGAGGTAACCCCATGACTACACCCAACCCAGCCCTTGAGGTTGCACCCAAGATGGCAGAACTCAGCGCCAATGTCCTGTTTGGCGATGTCTGGGAACGGCCCGAACTGTCCAAGCGCGACCGCAGCATGATCACCGTGGCTACGCTGGTCGCTCTCTACCGCACCGACCAACTAAGGGGCCATATTGGCCGTGCGCTGGATAACGGCGTTACCAAGGAGGAAATTGGGGAAATTATCACCCACATGGCCTTCTACGCCGGCTGGCCCACTGCCGCCAACGCCGTAAGAGTAGCGAAAGAGGTATTCGATTCCCGTTAAGCTGACTGGAGCGCCAAGGACAAACCAAAAGGGCGGGGGCATTCTTGAATCTGCCCCCGCCCTTGGCAAGCTGGAGAACGAACTTGAGCTACGGCTTTTCCATTGACCTGACGGCCTCCAGAAACTCCTGTGCAGCCCCATAGTCCCGCTCACTACCTCGACGAATAGGTGGGAGCAAGTAAATGTCTCTAACGGAGTTTTCGCTTAACCGCTCAAATACCTCCAACGCAATGTCAACTCCGGATCGCCCCGCTTCCAAGTCGGCCAGAATCTCCCCAGGAACAGTGCCGAAGGAGACACCTCCTCTCTCAAGAAATCTGCAACCCGAAGAATACCGGAACCGGACACTCTTTCCGGATTAATCTCGCGTAGGCCTCATGGAACCTGGCGACTTCTTCAAACTTGTAAACCGGCTGGGTAATCAGGAATTCCGCCCCAGCGCTGATTTTTCTCTCTGCCAAGGCTGCTTCAAGTCCCATGTCACCGCCCAGATCCAGAGTTGCGCCCGCGCAGAAGTCCGTAGGTGAGACCAAGGCACGGCCCCGGAAGTCCCGACCCTTGTTCATACTTAAGATATCTGACAGCAGTTCCGTAGGCCTGTAATCGCGGACCGATTTCACATTCCCTTTATCTGCTTCCGTGAAGTTGTCTCCCTGGGCAACTATCACGTTCTCCAGCCCCAGCATGTGTGCCCCTAACAGGTGAGACTGGACCGCAAGGCGGTTCATATCCCTGGTGAGCAGGGAAAATATAACCTCTTTCCCCGATTGCTGCTTAAGAGAAGCCGCCAGCATCGCTGAATCCGTACGTACGGAACGTCCCGGATTGCTGTTGACTGAGAGGAAATCGACGTGATTTGGGAGGAGCCGGGGCGCTGGAGAAAGTTCCGCCGCGCGGAGGAGAGTAATCGCAGATTATGGTCGTCTTTCCGGTGATGCTGAAGCCTGAGTCAGTAACCTTGGCCATAACAAACTCTGATCAGAGCGAAAGTGGCAAAAACGCAGGCCGGGGTGCAGGCATGAGTCAGGAAGAAACAATCAACTGGGCAACTGGGCAAGGTATTCCTGGAATATCCTCATTGACTTCTGCTCTGTCATGCCAAGGTAAAAGCGGATGCCCTGGACATATTCAACCACATCTCGGGGCAGCATGAGCAGATTTTCGCGCGGTTCGGAAATATGGTAAAGCGTATCTACGCCGTCCTCAAGACCGACGTAGAGTGTGTCTTCCAGTATCGCAAGCTCTTGTGAGCCCATATCCTGGCGAGCCATCCACCGGGCATAGACGAAGGGGAGCCTTGTCCACTCATACCATTCCTCTCCCAGGTCGTACCGGTGTGGAAATCCCCGAGCGCCACGACGCTGCCGCAGTCCCCGGTCGCCCATGACCATGAAAGCGTCGTGTTCATCCCGGAGGCCTACATATTCGCCGGGCGTATC